CTGTCTGTAACTTGCCTTGCTAGAACTCCTGACTTATGAGTGTACCTCTTGTCTCTTCAAGACTGCGAGCTAGAAGAGTTTCAGATGCCTAAATATGCAGCTAGAACCGAAACACTTTGGTCAGCTAAGACTACCCAGTATGAAAAATGAGCCAGTAGTTCACAAGCAGATTTCACACAAAGAGGAGGCTCTGCTGAAACTGTTTTACATTAGGAAAGCTGGAGGACTGATGTGAAATAGAGTGAGAAAGACCTCCCTGCCATGCTACTTCTGCCAGCCACTGTGCAGGACAAGCATTGCTAGATGTTGCACTTACCTGTGTGTTCCTTTCTGAACTTGTTGTGTTGGGGGAAAGAGAATAATCCCCAAAGTGCAGGGGAAAAATACAACCCCTCTTCCACAGGGCTGTTAGTGTGAATGGCTGTCCTGTGTGTGCTGTCAGGAGAAGAAGAGTTTGAAAGGAAATGGGTGGCTAAATTTTAGGCTTGCAGATCATTGAGTGGTCTCAAAAATTCCTGTTTGGCTGCCTAGGTATCTTAAGAGTTGCGGAAAGAGGTTCATTTGTTCATACATGTATATATAAAGAACAATTTTTGATCGCCCAGTGAATGGCAGGCCCCCTGGGACTAGTAAAGATGAAACAAGCACAAGAATTCCATTTGTTGGGGGAGGGAAGGGGTGATTGAATTGGGGATTGAACCGGGGATTCGGTCATCAAGGAGTTTTCAAGAAAATTCCAGAGGCAAAACCTCTGGAATAAGGCATAAGGAGCCTGATCTGATGTGGCGTAAGGAACCAGATCAGACTCTGTTTCTTCTGGCTCCAGGAATTTTCTTGGTGGCACTCTCAGCCGGAAGAATGAATCCCAGATTAAGACAGTCTTCTGGCAGATAAGAGAACAGAAATAGTTTCTAATCTCTGATCTTTGAGTACCTAGGAGCTGCATCTCCTGGTTTGTCTGAAAGAAATGCACTGTCATATCTGAGACTTTCAGTATGTGTGATTTATCTCATGAAGGCCTCTTACAGGCCTTTGAAGTAGCTGGAGGAGAGGGATTTGATTGGTTTCACATGTTCATGCCAAATCCCATGGTAAGTAGAAGAACTTGAGGTTATGAGATGTTGTGGTATACGTATTATGGAGCACAATAAATAATTGTCTGAACAGCTTCTTTTGCCTGTGGCTCTACAACTTGGGGTTGAATTTCGTTCTGTTCCCTGGCAGGTTCTGCCAACCTGTTGTTTTTTTTTTTTCCACATGCCCCACTCCCTGTAATCTTCGGTAATCTTTTTCTTCCTGGAGGAGCAGTGCTGTGCATTGCACATCTGACTGACTGTGAGACTCTTAACGCCCTGCCAGGTTTGTTTAAAATTCACCTATGGGTTAGCAAGCACAGACAGATAAGCTCTGCCTTGTTACATTGTCTCGTTTCTTTAGGAAGTTGAACTTTGTTTAAAAAACAAACACACAAACCCACAAAACACAAACAAAAAAAAGAAAATGCAAGGTTGATAAATCAAACTCTAAGAAATTTGGAAATGCTTGGATTTAAGTTGCCCAGATGCTTGCCAGGATTTGATCTGAATCAGCACCTTTTTTTGCTGTTGGACACAGTGGGAGGAAGTGCATACAGATTCACGTGCTTCAATTCCTTATCTGTGTAACAGCAAGGTATGTTCAGCCCTCTCCCAGAGGTTTCAGTATTTCAGGTATCATGGGATGTGGATATCTTCTGTGAATACGTAGATGTACAGGGATGGTGACTGTTCCATGTGGCTGAGCTAGGTCAGCCTGGAGTCCAAGGTATTTCACTAGTTCCCAGAATATATGTACTGTCTTGTATGTTGGTGATGAGGCTGCTGGCTAGCTTAGTGGCTAGCCTTTTCTGTACTCTGGTGTTGACATATTTTGTGCCTGTTGGCACTCAAGCTAAGAAAGAGCTTGAACACACTCAGATTTTCATGGCAGTCCAGTTGAGTTTTAGTTTGCTGTTGACAATCAGCTGGAAGAATTTTCCTAATGTTGACTGAATAACTGGAATTCCTGGGCATGTTCTAAGGAAAAAATAAAATCAAGAAACAGGTCTTCTGTGTGGGAAACTTCACCTCCAGTGGATCTTGAGCAGATCTAAGCACCCAAGAACAATATCTCTGAGAAGAAAGCAGTGTCAGACTTGCCTGTCAATGTGGCTGCCCAGTCTCTGATCTGACCGTGGGGTTGCTGTGCTGTGGCCTCCCTGCAGAGGCTGGAACCCTGCAATGGTGGAGCTGGGAACTGCAGCGAACCAACAGCTTTGCTTTTTGTGAAGGTTGTATAGATCAGATAAAAAGCAGTGCTAGCTAGCATGAGTAAACTTCAGAGAAGATCTCTCTCTCTCCCCCCGATATCAGACACATCATTTACCCAGTGGTGAGAATGGAATGAGCTTTTCTAAAATGTGACTTGGTGGAAAAAAATCGCTTGGTGCTTCTGTATAGAAGTCTATTCTTCAACTGAAACTTGTGGTTTACTGGTTTTTTAGGAGCACTCCCACAGGTGAGACATAGGTTTTCAAACCCCAGCAGGCCTTCAGCCAAGCTTAGAACTTCAGTTTGTATTTAGTGCCAGCAGAAAACCACTGCGGTATTTTGCACGTAGACCAATTGAGAACCAAGCCCAGAGCTGAGAATCAGAGTGTTGGTATACCCCTAACTGGTGTTGTAGATGGACAAATATTTTCTCCGAGGACAGTGTTGGTTTCAGCATCTCCAGTCCATACTGTCCCTTCAGTTTTGCTGCCGCACTTGTTCCTGCAGCTGTTTGGTCAGCTGAGCTTAGAATGCCTTGGTAAGGGGGGAGTGGGAAAAAAAGGTGGTGTTTTAACCTGAATCTGCTCTCCAGTCTGGTTTACTGCATGAGTCAACAAATAGTTAAACCAGTCTTTCAGAGACAGAACAGGATAAAAACAGGCGCTGGATTCACTTAAGCCTAGAAGGCTACCAGACAGCTCTGGCTGGGCTGGCTGGCTTGAGGTGTCCATGGGCCCGCGTGTCCCTGTTCAGGTTGTGGGTCTCGGGGCAGGGGTTTCCTTCTGCTGAGCTTATTTAGAGCTGTCAACGCCACACGTAAATCGTGGAAACACTGAAGGAGAAAAGAGCAGTTCAGCTTCACCTGCCGTTTCAGCTTACTCTGACATCCAAGTTTCCTTGGCTTGACTCCTTGGAAAGGAGGAAGGCATGGTCCTGGTTTAAAATTTATATTCATTATAGCAAAAGCAATGGAGTACTTGCATTACCTGTGCAGACTTCTCGCATGGTTTTGAATAAATGACCTGCTACAGAGACTCTTGGACTGTTTGCAGTGTGTAGTTTTTGTTTTAGCAAGGCATTTGCCACGCAGCTCAGGAGCTGTGTCTGTAGCAGTTGCCTGCTCGGGGCATGGGGCTCTGTTGGGTTTCATGGGGATTTTGCTCCAGGGAGCAGGCAGAAGCCAAGCTCTTGGCCACTCTGCATTTTTCTTGCCCAGCCTGCAGCTGTGATCTGCGATTTGCTGGCTGAGTGCTAGCAGTGGACAAGGGGAAGGCAGGAATTGCTGAAGTCCTTCTGTACACGCGCGTGGAGGGAGGTGTGCCAGCTGTCCGAATTACACTTGCGTGCTTCATGCTGCCCAGGCAAATGCTCTTTTATAAAAACATGTTTTAAGCAAAGCTAGAAAGCAGAACAACTCACTTGAAAACAAAGGCTAGAAACGAGTATACAGAGCGCTAATCAGACTCACAAGAGACTGTTGTGTTTGGGGAAGGGGAGTTGGGGGCTGGCTTTTGCCATCACATTTATGTGCTGGAATATGCCATCACCCAGGCACCAGCCAGCTTTCCTCAGCCTCACCTGAGCGTAGGGCAGGAGCCAAACTCAGAGCAGGGCTGCAAACGTATCGTATGAATAAGTTGGTCAGGACTGCTCTCCAGCCTAGTAAAATAAAACACTGTTCACATGTACTGTGGAAGAGGTCAGAGGGAAGTAACCCAAAAGACTGTAGTGAAGAAGCAGTACTTCCTTCTTCAAGTGCTTTGATTTTAGTGGGATAGCAGTGAGACTAGGCAGAATGAGCACTAGTCACGCGTGCAGTATCTTGTGCAATCCCCTTAGAGTACCGTCAAAGTCAAATCATAGCACTCTGCCAGCTTCAGGGAGAACTTCTGAACTTGAACAATATGGGTGGAAGAAAGAATCTTAAAACTAAGACATGGAAACCATTCACTAAGGGTTTGAAAACCCAATTCCCAGGGTTTTTCCACGCAGGTGTGATATTCATGTTCTGACCCTGTCATATTTGTAAATATATACATGGTAACATGATGCGGATCGACTAATGTGTGTGACTCTCTAGTTGAATATTAAGACCACCACTGCTCTCCTATTCCTTGTAGTGGTGAAGTCCTAGAAATATAGCTGATTCCTAAAATTTGCCTAAAAACTCTATTGATGTAGTTTGTTTGGATGAGACAGAACTGCTGATGTAGTTGAGCAAGATTTTTGCTATTCCTGAAACCTTTTTGACAACCATCCTCTATCTTCAATTATGAGTGATCTGGAGGAAAAAGGCATTTTTGCAGAATCTAAGACAGCAAAAAAAGCAAATTCTGAGTTCCCATTAAATCTACCCATGTTTATCAAGATACTCAGTGTGTGTGAGAACGATAGTCTGGATTTAGAGCCGACTCAAGAACAGGATTGAAACAGACTGATTTTACCCTACTGATGGGGGGTGTTGTGTTGGCTTTTTTGTTGTTTTGTTTGGGTTTTTTTAACAGGAGCAGAGTTGAAAAGGTGGCATTTGTGCATCTTCAGTTTGCTGCTTTTATTACTTTGACTTTTACTAGGCGTTGTAGACACACCTCTGGGGTTTTTTTTCCCCCCTTACAATTCTTAAATATTCTGGGTTATGCCATTAATTTTTAATTCTCTTCCATTCCTTCTTGCAGTTCTTGTGTGGTTGGTGAAAATAAGCCTACGCTTCAAGAGGAGCAACAGCCTGAGGTAGGGCTCGGAGCTGAAGTTTGTTTCTCAGTAGAATTGCAGGGAGGGTCAAGACTCTGAATCAGCCAGGTTCTTCCACTCATCCTGGTGGCCCTGGAAGGTCTGCAAAGTTGGAGGGTGGAGACTACCATTGTGAGACCTCTTTTAAATCAGAGGGGTGGGCGCTGAGTGCTATTTCTTTGCCACATTTAGGTGGTTCTTTTCAGGGTCCTTTTCCCTCCAATTGTGAAAGTTGAAAAGGGTCTTCTGTATTAATTGACTTGCAAGTGAGGAATTGCAGAAAATAGCCTAACCTATGAGCTTAAACCTTTAGGAAGAAAAACTGTTTTGTGAGTAAATTAAACAAACCGATCGTATAGGTCGTATAGGAATGATCTCACTGTACATAGATTAACTACCTTGCCAAGTTAAACTGAGGTGCTGTTTTTCTGCCCTTTCTGCTACTTTTCTTCTCCTTTCATATCCATGTGTCTGAAAAGGTTTTTTTGGTGTAATGGGTGAAGCTCAAGAAATTTTTTTTCTTATGAGATATAATATTTGTTCCTGTGTCCTGTTGGTAAATTTTAAAAAAGAATGTCAGACTCTTAATGTGGTACTTAGTGCTTTTCCCATTGCAATGTTGTAATGTTGTTATGATGACAAAGCCAACCTAATTAATTCCATACGTTACAGATGGATAAATTTTTCCAAAATATTTTTGTGACTACAGTTACATGTGCCAGCAGTAGAGTCAAGCCATATGTTGTGATCAAAAGCTGAGCTGGTGTTAAATTAGATTTGTGAATGTAATTGCAGTTTGCAGTGTAATTACGGTTTACAGTTGTCAATGAACAGACTTCTGCTTTGTAGTGAAAGGATGATATCTTGCTGTGAATGTTTTAAACTTTGAGCTGTAAAGCTGTTGTACTTTTTGGTCTTACTGCATGAAATGTATGATAAATTTTGCCTTGCCTTTTGTGGGGCCAAGGTAAGACATCCAGGATTTATTATCTGAAAATTACTGTTTGGCGTAATGAAACGCACAAGGAAATTAATTACTCTTGTTGAAAGCTCTTAACAATTGGATATGCTTTGTACAGTCCTGTTTTAAATATTACCAAGTTCAGTAGAAAGAAAACAGACCAGCCAATTCTAGCTAAAAAGCTGGCATCCTTCAGGAGAGCTTGGCTGCCTACTTGCTGACTCATTAATACTGCTTTTCATTAGGAAAATACTTGAATGTTGATGGATTCACATTCTGTCTCTAACTTTTTGACTTAATGTTGTTGAATTCCAAATTGTCCCAATAATCATCCTGATTCAACTTGAATTAATGTAGTTACCTAAAGATAGTTTATGGTTGAATTTTCCCTGATTCTTAAGTCTTTCTTTTCTGCACTAACTTTGTCTCCCTGGCTTGGATGACTGGGATTGTTTGAATTCTCTGCCCAGGTTTTAAAACTGGCCTGTTAGTTAAAAATAAGAAAGGTTTTGTTAGCCAAAGACCTGCCTCATATACATATAAATATATAATATTTAAAAGTTGGTCTTTGGGAATCTTTTCAGTTACCTTCTGATCCTTTAGAGAACAGAACTACGCAGATGCTTTGCATCCTTTTGACTTTGATTTCTGATTTATATAAAGTCAACAAACACGTAAACTTTATAAGATTGGGTGTGCATATTGTGTAATTACCTTACACTTATTCCAACAGAATAAAATACTTGAGCAGAGACTTTCAGAATGGATGTATGTATTGTTGTGAGTGCTGATTAACTTTGTCGGACTCCTGACAGACTAATGCTGACTGGTAGTTGAGTCAAATACACCATCTTATAAATGGCAATGGTATTATATTAATCAGTGCACGATTTAGTTTCTAACTCAGAAAACACTGTAGTAGTGTTAGAGATAAATTTGTTCTTTTATTCTAGAATCAGATTTTTTTTAAGCTCAATGTCATGTATAAATATTCTCTTTTAAAATAGGCGTGAAATAGTTTTTAATATGTTCTTTCTCATGCAGCTAGGAGAAAAATAGTTGTAAAACCACAGACATTTTGAACTGTTGGCACCGCTTAAATTATTTACTTGCTTGAATATTATATGTAGGTTCAAATTGAGCAAACTCACAAGAGGAAACAATTTCATTGTAATTCCCAGCCTCCTTTTGAATTTGTTTCATACAGGCTGCTGCAGATCCAATGTCCTCCTCTGATGCACCAGAAGATGGCCCAAAGGAAACATCAAGTGTATCGCAGAATATCTGTATGTTTCTGATTTGACTGGGGAGGGTATATCACGGTGGAAGTATATAAAGCTATACGTCCATGCTTTTCCTTACCTAATAAGGATGTGGCTGTTAGCACAAGAGAGAGATTCAAATGAGGTCATATCTTGACTTAATTTGTTCATGATTTGCAGAAAAGCCCAGTTGCGTAAACCAAATTTGGAAAGAGCAATGACGTATCGATTGTCGTTTTGCTACTCCCATGCTTTCAAAAGAAAGTAAATGGTTTTTGATTTAATAGGTATAGTCAACTATTGTTTTAAGCTTCGTCATTGCGCTCTAAGCAAGAGATGCTTAAGTACATGTTTGGTTCAGTGTTCTGGCATCTAGTGTTATGATGTTAAATCAGTTGTCCCAAGTGGAGTACTTTGCCCATGCTAGCATGATACTGTTCTGATACGAAGGCCAAGCTTGCAGGATGTGGGAATAGAAGTATTGCAGCCAAAACTGTCTTGTGAAGCCCAGGAAGAGTCTACGTCCTTATCTTTTAGTGGTAAGGATCAGATAATGACATTTCCTTTCTGAGGAGGAGAAAACAAAGACTTCTCAGGATTTGCTTTGTGTTTATTGGTATACCGTTGTGATGTTAATGCATACGATGCTCATTTTGAACAATAGGAACATTCAGAATGTGCGTTCTGGCAAATAATAGGCTCTGAACTACCTTAGGGCAAATTAGGGGGTTACAGCAACATTACTATAATGCTGAAGTTGCTGAATAATCCCTAGGGGTTGCAACTTTCAGAAATAACAGTCATGGGAGCAAAGAGAGCCTTGACTAAAGCTATGGGAAAAGCATTCAGACCTAAAGCAGCAGATTAATTTTTTTTTTTTGCTTTTTTCTCCGGATATAAAAGTTGGTTTAATAAAAACCATAGCTGCTCCTGAGAATATTTTCCTTGATTATGTCCTTAAAATATGAAATCTGGTACTGTGCTGTTATGGCAGTTTTTCTTCATGTGAAACATTATTCAGTCCAGTTCTGAATATATGTATGAGATGAAGGCTTGAAAAATTAATAGAAATTAAATCCTTTAAAGGCTCCTGAATACATAGAAACCACTTTCAACTGGGGGAATCTGAACCATAAATGACTTTAGGCTAGGAAAGTGTTTGGGGAAGATGTAGTGCACACTTCCTCATTTCTTATATTCTTCCTTAGATACCTACTTTTGACCATTGTGGGAGGCAGGATATTTGCTTATGTAGATTTTGGCTGCTCTACTATGGCTGCTTTTATGATTATGTGAATGATTGCTACAAATGCAACAGCCCTACCTCTTCTCCTTCCTTTTGCAGTCATGTTTTCCCCACCCCCTCCTTAACATCACCATCTGTTTTGGCAGCAACATGGTCTTAGATCCGACCGTACGGATTACAACACACCATATTCTCGGGTATTGACCATGAAGTAGTAGGCTGCTAAAATGGTAACTAAGAAGGATGTTGGAGGGTGGCTTTTGGTTTTGGTTTTTGTTCGTTTTTTTTTCACGTAAAATCTTGTGAGATAAGTGTTCGAGGGACAGATCTGGGGCCAGAGCCACACGGCTAAACCAGATTCGTTAAAACAAATGAATGTATGGTAGGAGGCTGTAATTTATCTGCATCTTTGACATCCTGCCTGCGAACTGTTCACTAACCTTTTATTTTTTTCCTGGGATTATGATCCTATTCCAGGCTTCTGGACCACTTGAGACCTCTGCTAACTTGTGCAGCAGCTTGCCCAAGAAAGAGAGTTGGTTGGAAACAAAACTCTGCTTTCCTACTTGATGCTTTTTTTTTTTCCTGAGATGTGTTTCAGCTTAAAGATGACTCATTCAAAGTTACTATATTTTCCATTGATATAAAACTGAAGCTTCTCTATCTCAGTTAATGAGCCTTTCTGGCATTTAACAAGCAACCGTGATGGAACTGATAGATCCTTCTATTTTCTGTGGCAAGCTTGACATAGCTGGACTAATCTCACATCGTACCTTTTTGGTCTTAAATAGTTTGTTGTTGAAACTAGAGAAGAATGATTGGTTTCCTGACCTGAATATCTCTTAAGGTTTAATTTTCAATTATGTACTGATCCCTGGTGTGTTAATCACAGAAAAGGCTGAGATTGGTACTGTAGGTATTCTGTATGTGCCAATATGTGCAGGTGGCTTTACCAGCACACTCACACCAGTGTACATGTGTTGCTATTGTTTATACAGATAAAATCCCAAAAGGGAACACTTTTGTTCTAGAATTTAAAAAATGCCTTTTTTTTTTCTTCCAATTTAGTGTATACCTTTTCTAAGTATTCTTTGCTTCTCTATCCGCC